CAACACGTAAGAAGTGGGTCCGAACGGACGGACGGATGGACATACAAAACGCAACAATAGCACTTTCTTTAACTTCTTAAAAAATGCGCTAAAATACTGTTATACACAACAGACACGGTGGAGCTGTATGACTAAAGGGACATGCAGAAGAAATAGAAGGGGGTACAGAAGAGTGGAATAATAATATAGAAGAGAATATTAAAAAATCAATAACGTGGAATCAAACAACTAAAAGGAAGAGGTGAGAGAAAAAAGGAGTGCGGGCAGGGAATGTACAGATATAGATAAATGAAGAAGCGGAAGTAAAGGAGAAATAGGTGAGAGAACAGAAAAAAAGGTATAAAAGAAAATGTAAACAAAAAAAAGATGCAGGAACATAAAGAATACAACAAAGAAATCATGGAAGTAAAAACAGACAAGGATTTTTGGAAGGTAAACAGAAGAAAAAAGAAAACTAGTGGAAACTACATTTTTAATCCAGGTAGTGCAAGCAAGACAGGAAAAGGGGGAGGCTGTAGAAAAGATAGAGAGGGAGGAAGTTGAAGAAGATGAGATAACAAGAGTATAGATCGGGCACCCACTACAAGACCGAAGAAAAGGAGATAGAGACGGGATAGGAAATGATGCTTGGATTTTTGCCTCAGATAGGCTCGAGGAAAGGATGGAATCTGGTATGAAAAGGAAGAAGAATGGGAGGAAGGGGTAATAGTGCCCGTTTTCAAAAAAAGCAACAAACACTACGTGGAAAATTTTAAGGGAGTCACAATAATGACAGCGGCATCTACGCATTGGCATTGAATGAAAGAGGGCGTGTAAGGAAACACAATGGGCTTCAGAAAGGTAAGGGAAATGATCAACCGTATAAAGGTGATTGATGGAAAAGGAATTGGATTTTATTGAACCTAAAAGCAGCGTTTGACAGAGTGGAAAGGGAAAAATTATGAAATGTGGATAAAAAAGCTAAAAAGGACAGAATCAAGGACCTATATGGAGAAAAAGATAGAGCTAATGTGGAGGGATCGTAGTGGGAAAACGAAAGAAATGTTCCATGGTGTACGCCGACGATGAAGTCATAATGGCAACCGAGTATAGGTAAAGGAAATGGTGGGTAGAATGGAGACGTACTGGAAAACGAAAATAATGCAGTTAATAAATGTATAAAAGTCGTATGAAAGTATAGATATTTGGAGTACCAAATGCCAAACAATTAATTAGGCAAATGTGAAAATAACGGAAGATAGAAAAAAGGAGTATTTGGGCGAAACAGAGGGTCACCAAATTGTACATCAGAGGAAGAAACAAAAATAGAGAAGATAGCGTCGGGTCATAAGGCCGTGAGGTTCGAAGAAAGGGGTTAAAAGTAGCGAATTGGCAAAAGAATGTTGGTCAACGAGGATGAACGCAAAAGGAAAGCGAGAAGAACAAAGAGGACAAGTTAAAAAGTAATCGTAAACGATTTACATAAAGCGCATTTCCACTTGCATTCATTTCCCATTTGTAAGATGCAACTTCTGTTAAAATCGTAAAATCCGGCCACAAATATGAAAGATAGCGTTGCACATGGGCAATCCATTTTTGACGTGCTACTTCAATTTCAGTTTATGAGAAGAATTTAATTTCAATGCTTTTCTAAATAAGAAAGTTGGAACTGCGCATGCGCAAACCTAAATTTTAAAACTAATTTACTATAACTAACTAATAAACTAAGATTTTCCTTTGTTCCAAGCGCCTATGTATCAAATTTCGTTTAAATTCTTCCATAAATAAAAAAGTTGGCACTGCGCATGCGCAAAACCAAATTTTGAAATTGCGTTTGATTTTCCTTTATCCCAAGCGCCTATGTATCAAATTTCGTTTAAATTCTTCCATAAATAAAAAAGTTGGCACTGCGCATGCGCAAAACCAAATTTTGAAATTGCGTTTGATTTTCCTTTATCCCAAGTGCCTATGTATCAAATTTCATTCAAATACTTTTATAAGTAAAAAAGTTTGCAATTCGGTTTATAAATGGCCGAGATGCGAAAAGGGCACTGTGAATTTTGAATCGATTCGATTCAACTTTTGGCATTGCGTATTATATGGCTAAAGCTATGCCCATATTGAATTTAATGCAATTCAGTTCAAAACTAACGGAGATGTAAAAGCGATCGAACATTTCTAAACAAAGTTATCGTTCACACGGACAGATAGATGGACAGACAGACAAAGGAACAGACGGAGAGACCAACCGGCAGGCGATAGATAGCAATGCAAAATTATAAACGATCTCTAGGATCGTTAATAAACGGCAAAAGTGTAAAATTATGGAACATGTAAAAAACGGTTTTTTGTTTTTTTTACAATAACTTTTTTTTTATCCTATACAAGGAGAAACTTACATTTTCTCGCCTGTGTGAGCACGCGAAAGAAGACAATTGCACGCATGGAGCGAGAAAATTCAATTTTGTCGGCTAGGCGAGAAAAAAAATACGCCTTATGTAAGCTAGATGGCGCGGTTGTAATAAAATGTCAAAGAAGTTATTTCTTTTTAATTAAATAAGAAACATCAAATCGGCAACACTGATTTAATAATTAAATTTACCCTATGTTCACTTTATTTTACTGAATTCAAGAATTTATTTAATTACCGCGAACCTATACCTATCAATGTTTCGTGAATTTGAATACTTTCCCAATATCACGTGACCAATTCAAACGTTTCAAACATAAGTCATAATCTCCCATTTACTTTCAATAACGAGCTTCTGTGTCAATACATTTAACACCAAGATGTACTTTGCACTGTAAGTAGAACACCGCTTATCCGCAATAAGTAGCATTTTAACATACGAGACTACCCCGAAGTTAAAATGTGTCACAAATGTGTCCAGTGTGACTATAAGGAATGAATAAATCTATTTATAAAACACATTTTTTTAAAATACAAGATCATCAAGGATTTAAAGTGTGCCCATTGCGCGTTCGTCACCAAGCATAAATCCAGTCTTAAAAGCATCTAACATTTGACAAGACGGATCCTGCCAAGGATTTAAAATGTAACCGGTGTGATTTTGTCCCTGAAAACACACATTCAATTTTAAAACACATTTGTTAATACACAAGGCCAGTAATAATTTCAAATGCGCCTGGTATTAATTACAACCCCTTAAATCCCGTTATTTTCTAAGGAAATAATCACGCGCCAGTGAAATGCCGGAAATGTCAACTCAGTTCGCACACAATCGGTATTCTCCACTTGCACCTCTGCTCTGTTGCACAGTGACTCCCTTCGGTGACTCCGCACTGTGCAATCGCAAGCGCGCTAGGATTTGAATTTGCGTTGAACTTTATTATAAGGGAAAGTGGTAAATCTACGAGTAAAAAAATACTCGTGGGCCCACTTAGATTGCACCGTTTCGTAAAATTTTTCGCGTAGTCAGCAGGAAACGTGGAAATAAACAAAACAAACGCGTACAGGTTCACGCGTTAAAGCAAATCCAAATTCAAGCGCTTGCGGTCGGACGTTGTTGAGGGATTAATTTTAAATGTAAGTGTATAGGATAAAAAATATTGTGTGTACCACGGCACGAAAGTTGTTTTCCGGGCCTCAGGAAGTGGCCAGCCTCGGCTGCGCCTCGCCTGGCCATATCTTCCTTCGCCCCGGAAAACAACCACTTTCCCGCCTTGGTACACAAAGTACTATTTTTTGTAAGCGGTACAGAAAAAATTCCTTCCTTGGTACAAGACTCGACACCATAACGAACCAAATAGCGAAAAAAGTAGAACAATAGCTCTTAAGATAGAGAACTAGTAGCGTCGCAAAACGAGACGGACGGACGGACGGACGGACGGACGGACGGACAAAGTGGCCACAATAGCGCATTTTTTTTTATTTTTGTGGAAATGCGCTAAAAATATCACGAAAGGAGTGGGTACTTATACAGACAGGCTAAAGTCGAAAACTACGTATGCAACTTTATCGACCCCTTAGCAACCCAAACGAATTAACCTTAAAAAATGCGCGGTGTCTGAGTGTACGCTATCCCCTCCCCTAGCATTTGATCTCTGATAGATGAGTTAGGTTATTGCGTTTCTCTCTGTTTACCATGGAAAAACACTCGTCCATCTCTGAACAGATTTTTACCAAATGATCCTTTACTTGTTTGAACTTGAAGTTAAACACTCATTTCACATTAATCTCTTTATTAGGAAACTTTTATGGTTCTGACCCGGTTTAAGAAATTTAAGATGAAGTTTGATTCCAGCAGACGGTATGGTACTTCTCTGTGCAAGTGCAGGTATCGCCGTATGGACCAGGTGTCTGTTTTCCGTAGTCGGTACAACCTGCCATTCTTTGATGCTGATCGTGGCCACTAAATCGGCTACGTTAGTAACATTTACGGGTTAAAGTTACACTTACCATTGCATCCTGGTGCATGCCAGTCCCCCATCTAAGCAGCTGCAGCTGTTGCAGTCATTTTCGATGTAGCGCACGCCACTTTTGCACGCTAAAAACGGTTGGGTTAGCACAATGTGGAACTAAGGAACGTCATTGGCACTTACCCCATTCGCCGGAGACGTACACTATCAAAGCGGCTATGAAAAATACGAGTTGGAATTTCATGGTGCTTCGTATGGAGTACCCAAAATGAAGTGTGTACCTATATTAAACCATCGCATTTATACTCATCTGATAATTTCACAATGAGAGCTGATTACAGATAAAATTACTTTGACAATACAAAACTGCGCAATTAGGTGACGTTGGGAGATCTATTGTCAGCTTTTGTAGTATAGCCATTTTGGCCAATCTTCTATCTGCAATTTTAAACATCTGTTACCAACCGAAATACATTTTGTGCAATAATTCAATGCATTTACGTCAATTTCAAATTCAACTCTAGTGTTTTTTTCCTACATACTATAATCTTAGATATTAAAAACAAACCGTCGGAAATAAATGATTAATGTTTTCTCGATATCGCAATACCTTTCAATTTACTGATACTTGAGTGCCTAACAATAGTGATAAAAATAGCACTTGTCATCCTTATTGGTCACACTGTCGCAAATAGTCATCGCTCCAAGAAACCCAACTGGAGACAGGGCTTTTATTTAAATCCATCAAGAACACTCTCATGGTAGCGTTTGGGAAAAGGTAACCTCTCCAGAAAAATAAAATAAGTTAATGCTAATTTTGTTTAGAAGTAACAGTAATAACGCTAGGAATAGCGTTTAATAATAACAAGGAAATGGTGAACAACATGTACAAACTGAAGCACCTAAGGAGGTACCACCATTCGAGAAGTTCTTGAGCTACCTACCAAGAGGAACGGCTTCAATCGCTGCAGAAAAAAACAGAGTCCAAGCCGAAAAACGCCCATCTACAAAGAAGATCAACACCTTCCAGACTGCAAGAAGTTTGACGATATGTCGACAAAGGAGCGTTGGCAAATCGTCAAGGAAAATCAGTTGTTTCAGTTACGTAAATCACCACAAAAGGACCAAGTGTACCAGTCCCTACTCTTGTAGAAGTGGCAACATCACCGCATGCTTCATATCGAAAGCCCTAAGGAAAATAATCATAGAATGGAAGTAGCCAGTAAACGAAAGATCGAGATCAAAATCAAACCCATGATTCCCCATTAACTTCAGAATCAAAAACCAGCTGCTGATTATGAAGCAGCTCACTTCAACGTTACCAGTCCGTCCAAGAAGATCAAGTGTACCAGACCATACTCTGGCGCTATTCACCACCTGAACCTATCCAGGAGTACCCACCGACTAACCACAGTCACGTATGGCACAACGTCCGCACCATATTTGGCGGTAAGAACCCTGCAACAGTTGGCAAAAGACGAAACTGAGCAGTTCCCAGAAGCGGAAACAATCGTCAAACGGGACTTCTATATGGACGACCTAATCACGCGATCGTACCACCAAGCTGCGAAGTGTCTTCATCAGCAGTTGATCGAGTTGCCGAAGCGCGAAGGGTTCAAACTAAGGAAGTGGAAAACAATTGCAAGGAGCTCACTTCCACCCTGCCGAATAAACTACAGTTTATGGATCTTGGACCAGAAGACAAAGAACACCCTAAGCGTACAATGGGGATCGATCCAAGATGTCTTTCGTTTCAAGGCCGATCTAACTCCGAAGAACACACGTACCAAGCGAAGGACTCTATCCCAGATCGCAAGATCATTATGACCCCCTAGGCTCCCACGGTAATCCGGATTAAGCTGTTCGTGCAGGAACTGTGGACAGAAGCCATTGACTGGGACAAGAAACTTCCAGGCCATTACCAATGGAGGCGGAAATCGAGCTGGTATTGTGTCATATCCACAGGTTATGTAAACGCACTTGTAGATATTGCATTGATTGCCGATCGTTGCTGAAATTGTCAAGTAGACAACCTACTTAGGTGGGTGACTTAAATTGTAATAACGAGAACAGAGATGACTACGAACCTTCCAAGAAGAGACACGTATAAGTAAATAGTTAATAGATAAATGGTTTTTATTAAAAGTAGTACCTAATTACCCTCCGAACATAACATGGCGACCGTGACAGTTAAATAAGGGGAAGTGTCCAGGGGTAAAATAATGGAATTGGTGACAATCATGACGACCCAGTAACATGGCTCATTTCGAGTACATTTCGCCGCACATCATTAACTACATTTTAGGTAAATTAGTAGGATTGCCATCCAAAATGGGTAGTGGAGCCAGTTCATATGGAAAATAGAGAAATGGACCATAAGATGTTAAAACGGAGGTATGCTTCAAGTCAACCTAGTTTATAAAATAATGCAACGTAATAAGTGTCAGTTTTGCACACATTTTTTTGGACTTCACGCATGTAATTGCAGAACGTTCGTATGTAGGTCGTTTTAACTCGTAAGTGTAATTTAGACTTTGAACGTTTCAGTTAGGTACTATGAGTGACATTAATTCTTTAAATAGATTTAATTTTAAGTAGGTACTATTATTAATTATAAATAGAATGCGAATAATGCATACAATTTCCACGTCTAGCTAGGTCACAGAAATAATTCTTTTACATGCCTATTACTTACACATGGCAAGAAATTCAAAATAAATTGACTGAACTTAAACAAGAGTTCCAGAAAGTAGCTAAAAGGATCATAAAATCGGAATTACCTTCAAGAGAAAGTTTAGATAGGAACAGGATACTTTTAACTGAGGTATATAATAGACAAATACAATTGTTTACTCAGGTGTGGAATGTGCTGAATGAAGATCAAAAAGTAGTCGTTAAGGAACAATTTTTATATTTTAGGGATAAAACATTACAAGCGTTTGCAATTAGTCGATGCCCACATATTGTCCCAAAAGGTTTATTCCAAAAAATCGAGGAAGATAACAATGATGGTGAGTTAGAGTTTGGAAATTTGGAGACTGAGTCAATAACGTCTGTAAGTAATAAAATGGAGGAAACTTCTGCGGGATATTTAAAACTCGCTAGTTCTCTAATAAAATCTTATTCGGGTGATCCAGATAACCTAAATGCATTTTTAAATTCCTTAGATTTGGTAAAAAGTATCACTACGACAGAAAATTTAAATTTATTTGTACAATTTATCAAAACCAGGTTAGAAGGAAAAGCTTTGGAAGCCATTCCTACAAATGCGAATACCTATGAGGAAATTCGAAATGCATTAAAGGCAAATATTAAACCAGATTCTTCTGAGGTAATAGAAGCTAGGCTTCTAGCGTTAAGAACGGATAGGAAAAGTTTAGAAACCTTCACTAAGGAGGCAGAGGTATTAGCCGAATGTTTAAAACGTTCATTAATAATGGAAGGAACCTCGGATTCAAAAGCTGAATCAATGGTGGTAAGGAAAATGGTTGAAACTTGTAGAAAGTCTGCTAGATCAGATCTGGTAAAATCAGTTCTTGCCAGTGGAAATTTTAACAAGCATAAGGAAGTACTTGCAAAATTTGTAGTTGAGATTAGTGATGAGGTAACGGATAGGCAAATTTTAGCGTATAATAGAAATAAGTTCCACGGCGGTGCAGCAACGAATCATTATAGAGGAAATCACTCTAGCTGTAGTACATCAGGAAATTACTTTAGGGGTAGTACATCAACAAATCATTTGAGAGGAAATCAGTTTAGAGGAAATGACCGCACAAACTTTAACCGTGACAGTAATGGAAGAAATTTTAACTTTAACGCATATAGGCCTAACCATTTTAACCAAAATAACCAAAATAATAGGGGTAGAGGTTACTCCAAACATCCAAATATTAGGGTATATCACAATTCGGGAAACGGGCAAAACCCAGAGCCGCACCCTCTGGGAAACAATTAAACTACAGAGATGTTAATATTTGTCACATGAATTTATCTTATTCTGATTATGTCATTATTTACTCTCCGCAATCTCATTCGAATTTAACTTTTCTAGTAGATACTCAGGCAGATATATCAGTTATTAAAAGTGGATCTATAACGGATAATAATTCAGTTAATAAGGAAAATTACGTAAATATAAAAGGAATAACAGAGAACACTGTTACATCAATTGGTTCAGTAATCTCACCACTTTCAGTTAATTCCCATGCTTTTGAACATACATTTCAGGTAGTAGAGGAAACTTTCCCAATCCCAGCGGATGGAATTTTGGGTAAAGATTTTATAAAGAAATATTATTGCAACCTTGATTATGAAACAATGATTTTTACAATAAAATTTCCATATTTTGAGGTTAGCTTAGCGATACATCAAGGTCCAGATCAGGATGCAATAGTAATTCCACCCAGATGTGAGGTATTTAGATCTTTTAAACTTAAAGGTACTGATAAGGTTATAGAATCACAAGAATTAGCTCCAGGTGTTTTTATTGCGAGAACTATTACTTCATCTAAAAATCCAATTTTGAGAGTTCTAAATATCACTGATAAACCGATAATTTTAAATAATAACATAAGATTAATTACAGAAGATATATCCAAATTTGATATTTATTATTTTAGTGAAGAAACATCCGATAGAAAAGAGAAAGTTTGGTCGAAATTATCACAAGCAAATAACAACTATAATTTGGGTAAAGTTAAAGGTTTATGTGATGAATTTGCAGATATATTTGCATTAGAGGAGGATAGGGTTTCAGTCAATAATTTTTATGAGCAAAAACTACGCCTTACTGATAATTCCCCAGTTTATATTAAAAATTATAGATTACCTTATTTTTATAAAAAGGAAATTAATAAGCAGGTAGATAAAATGTTAAAATCGGGTATAATAGAGCATAGTAGATCTGCATACAATTCCCCAGTGATTTTAGTACCTAAGAAATCCATAAACGGTGAGAGGAAATGGAGGATGTGTATTGATTTTAGATTAATTAATAAAAAATTAATTCCAGATAAATTCCCATTACCACGCGTCGATGACATTTTAGATAACTTGGGTAGAGCAAAATATTTTTCAGTCTTAGATTTATTTTCAGGATTTCATCAAGTCAAATTCCATCCAGATTCTCGAAATATTACTTCATTTAGTACAGATTAAGGTAGTTTTCAGTATACAGTTTTGCCATTTGGACTTAACGTTGCTCCAAATTCTTTTCAGAGAATGATGTCAATTGCTTTTTCGGGTTTATCACCATCATCTTGTTTTTTATACCTAGATGATTTAATAGTGCTAGGATCTTCTGAAAATCATCATTTGAAAAATCTTAAAGAAGTTTTTAAAACTTGTACAAAATTTAATCTTAAATTAAATCCCTCTAAATGTCAATTCTTTAAAAACGAAGTCACATATTTAGGGCACAAATGTACTGATAAAGGAATATTACCAGACGATTCGAAATTTGAAATTATCCGAAATTACCCTCAACCTAAAGATAAGGATGCAACCAAACGTTTTATTGCATTTTGTAATTACTATAGAAGATTCATTCCTAATTTTGCGAGCATTGCATATCCATTAAATAAATTAACAAGGAAAAAATGTGAATTTAGATGGACAGATGAATGTAAATTAGCTTTTAATCAACTTAAATCATTTCTTTGTGAACCTCCAATTCTTCAATACCCTGATTTCTCAAAATCATTTATTATAACGGTTGATGCAGCAAAATATGGAACAGGTGCTATACTTTCGCAGAAAATTAATGGCGAAGACCACCCCATATCTTATGCGTCAAAAAGTTTTACAAAAGGAGAACTTAACAAATCAACTATAGAAAAAGAATTAACAGCTATTCATTGGGCTATAAAGTTCTTCAATCCATACATTTTTGGTTCAAGATTCACAGTTCGATCAGACCACAAGCCTTTATCTTATTTATTTTCTTTAAAAGATCCTACGTCTAAATTAGCTCGAATGCGTATGGATATTTCAGAATATGATTTCGAAATTGAATACATTCCTGGAAAGGACAATGTAGGTGCGGACGCATTGTCTAGAATTGATATGTCAGAAATTAAGAAAATTCAAGATAACGTTAACATATTAAAAATGACAACTCGATCTATGAGTGCTAAACCTAATCATGCAAAGAACACACAAGATGTGAATGAAAAGGTAACCATACCCATGACAGTATATGAAACTATTAATAATTATGAAGTCAGAAAACTTCCTAATATTCAATTTAAAATAATCAGAAATTCTCATACTAATACAATAAATAATAAATCTGCAAATATTATAGATATTATATGTAATATATTTAAAAGACGTCAAAGAATAAATCAATTTAGTTTAACTATATCACTTGCTAATGATTTATCAGCTTTACAGTTGATACTATCAAGACTTAATAAAGAAGTCGGTAAACTGAATATAGAAAGATGCAATATTTTCTTTATTTAGTATTCAAAGTTTTAAGGAACTGGGATCAAATATAATAAATAAGTGTGAAATAATTATCACAAATAAAGTTAGTATCATATATGATAAAACTGAAAAGGAAACTTTATTAAAAACATATCACGACAATCCATTACAAGGAGGTCATTGTGGCCAGAAAAGATTATATGCAAAGTTAAGAAACCTTTATTATTGGAAAAATATGTCAAAAGATGTGGCATTATATGTTAGGAATTGCCATAAATGTCAAATAAATAAACCTAAACATAAAGTAAGAGAACCTTTAGCACTCACCACTACACCATGCAAACCATTCGATATTGTAATCTTAGATACAATTGGTCCATTTCATAAATCAGATAGAGGTAATAAATATGCCATAACTCTCATTTGTGATCTTGTGACTATTCCCATACCCAATAAAGAAGCTTCTACAGTCGCAAGAGCAATTTATAATAATTTTATTTTGATTTTTGGAACAATGAAAGAAGTTAGAACAAATTTAGGATCTGAATTTAAAAACGAAGTTCTTTCTGAGTTACTTAAATTACTTGACATAGATCATAAAACATCTACAGCTTATAGACATGAAACAGTAGGAACAATTGAACGAAATCACCGTGTTCTTAATGAATATTTGAGATCTTATTCAGATGAAATGTTATATCAATGGGATGAATACTTACGATATTTCACCTATTGCTATAATACTACACCTAGTACAGCAGTTGATAACTATACTCCATTTGAACTAATTTTTGGTAAACAAACATCATTATTTGATTTTCTTAACGGTAATTCGATTGAACCTATTTACAATGTAGACACATTTGCGAAAGAAGTCAAATACAGATTACAATTAGCTCATAAGAGAGTTCAAGATTATTTGAATTTCAACAAATTAAAAACCAAAATGTATTATGACAATACGATTAACAAAATTTGGTTAAATATCGATGATAAAGTACTGTTAGTAAATAATAGCAGAAGGAAACATGACGCAATGTATAAGGGTCCATACATTGTTAAAGAAATTCATGACCATAACGTTTTAATTTTTAATCCATGTAATAATAATACTAGTTTAGTTCATAAGAATAGGCTTAGGAAATATTTTGTATAAAAAATGTTATAACATAGGAATCTGTTATTAGGAATTTAGTACCTAGTATTGTAAGGAAGGTAGGCTAGGAAGTAGGAATCTAATATAAGATAGAATTTAATCAATAACGTTATTGTTTAAAAAGGAGGGGGTGAATGGCCAGTCCTCTCTCCACAAAATGGAAAAAAAATTCTTATTAATTATCTTTAAGTCAGAGTAGATAAAGCTACGTTTATCTTTTTAATGAAGGGAGGTATTGTGTCATATCCACAGGTTATGTAAACGCACTTGTAGATATTGCATTGATTGCCGATCGTTGCTGAAATTGTCAAGTAGACAACCTACTTAGGTGGGTGACTTAAAATGTAATAACGAGAACAGAGATGACTACGAACCTTCCAAGAAGAGACACGTATAAGTAAATAGTTAATAGATAAATGGTTTTTATTAAAAGTAGTACCTAATTACCCTCCGAACATAACACTGGAACTCACACCGAGGCCCGTAACCATTCATTTGGAACAGATTCCCACGTTCCCCAAAATTTAGGAACCATAAAGCAACAAGGAAAAAAATATAAGTTAAGGCTAATTAATACCCCCAAACCCCCGGTACTACGATTTCGCTTAGTATTTTTCTTTCCTCTGAACTATGTCATACACAAGAGAGTGAAACGTGAAACGTGAAACACCCTGTATAACTCAACTATTCACTAAGCTATTTCGGTTTTAAAAAAATGCCCATTTCTTAAATTTTTCCGATCCATCATATTGCTGTCAAAATCACAAAAAACTAAGGAGCGAATGTCCATCGGTAGGTTTTGCTTTGTCAACACAAGGAGTTCGAGCAAAGAAAACTGGTTTGCCTAAATCAACTGATTTATAAGAAAAAAGTTCAGAAATTCTACTGTGATGTATGCAAGCCTGGTGAGGTCAAGGTTGGCACGCCTGCAACGGTGGGCTAGGTCGCATGTCGTTGTAAGCACGTTTCATTTTATAAATCATCTCTGTCAATATAAATATCCAAATAAAGAGTACTTATTATTGGCGACGAGATAAAAAGAAGAACCGAATTTGGCAACATATAGCATAAATAAAAGAAGCTGTGTATTCATGGTTAGTTTCGAGCTCGGGGTGGAAGGAATCAAGTCAAGATGGCTACAGTCGCAATAGGACACATTGGCGAATTCAACGCAGACGAGTCTACGAATTGGGAAGTTTACACGGAACGACTTGAATTTTATTTACAAGCAAATAAAATAACAGAAGATGAACAGAAAAGGGCGGTGCTGTTGACTGTTTGCGGAACAAGGACCTATGAAATTTTAAGGTCGTTGGTAGCTCCTGACGCGCCAAGTTCAAAATCTTACGGGGATTTAGTGAAAACCTTAAAGGACCATTTCGCGCCTAAACCGTCCGAGATAATGCAGAGATTTCGTTTTCATAAACGCGATCAAGGACAGAATGAAACAATTGCGGTGTACGTGTCTGAACTAAGAAAAATTGCGGAGCAGTGTAACTTTCCCAGAGAAACCTTAGAGACAATGCTTCGCGATCGTGTAGGGTGTGGCGTTCGCAGTGAAGCGTTACAGCGCAGGTTGCTAGCAGAAAAAGACTTGACCTTCAAAATTGCATTAAATACGGCAACGGCGGCAGAAACAGCTGATTTGAACGCTCTAGAAATCCGGAAGCAAACTGCACCTGTTCAACAGCTGACCGCCACCACATCAACATACAGAAGGGTTAATCGAGACAACAAAGAGCATAACAGCGGTGTCACCAGCTCCGGGTCAAATGGCACCAATAATTTGCACCGTCGACAAAACCAGAGTAATTACAAACCCTGTTTTAGGTGTGGAAGCCAACACAATCCATTCAATTGTCGCTTTATGAACGAAACATGCAGATTCTGTAAGAAAAGGGGCCACATAGAGAGAGTGTGCATGCAGAAAAACAGGAAACAACAGACAAACGCAGTTGACGCATCGGAGCAGCCGGAAGATGACTATGCCGAAATATTTACTTTAAATGGGATAACCAGCAATTTACCGGTTGCAACCACAGGTATCAATAACATTACAAGCATGCCCAAAGCAACGGTAACATTAAATGGACAAAAATGTTATATGGAAGTGGATTCAGGAGCGGCTGTATCATTAATGGCCTCCAACACGTTTAACAGAATATTTCATGTATACAAACCAGAGCTATCAAACTCGACGTTAATTCTAAAGGACTATCAAGGAAATGTTATAAAAACTGTTGGCGTGTGTCAAGTCGAAGTTAAATACGCAGGCCGATGTGCAGTACTACCGCTCACAGTAATCGAAGATAACCGAAGCAGCTTATTAGGCAGAAATTGGTTTGCTACATTAGGAATTAAACTGGCAGGCGTTTATCAGCTTACATCAGAATCGGTGATAACAAAATCAGTTGCGGAAGTACTGAGCAAGTATGCTGACATTTTCAAGAATGAATTAGGCAAGTACAAAGGCCCTCCTGTGACATTACCAATCAATGATAACGTACAACCGATACTATGTAAGGCCAGACGGGTGCCATTTGCATTATTACCCAAAATTGAAACGGAACTGCAAAATTTATGCCAACAGGGCATTTTAGAACCGATAACCCACCCACGATGGTGTACGCCAATCGTTCCCGTTGTTAAAAAGGATTCCAGCATAAGAATATGTGGCGATTATAAACAAACCTTAAACAAGGCATTGCGTACTGACGTTTACCCAATTCCAGCCATTAACACTATATTAAGTTCACTAGCCGGAGGTAAAATTTTTGCCAAATTGGACTTGGCTCAAGCATACCAGCAGTTAGAAGTTGACGACAAGTCTGCTGAAGCCCAAACAATAATCACACACAAAGGACCTTTCCGAGTAAAACGACTACAATTTGGAATCAGCGTGGCTCCACAAATATTTCAAAATTTCATGGATCAGAGACTAAGCGGAATTCAAGGAGTATTCCCGTACTTCGACGACGTACTGGTAGCAGGAGAATCGGAAACACAATTAGCCGAACGACTCGAGGAGATATTCAAGCGATTCCAAGAAGATGGCTTACGCCTCAAGCGAGAAAAATGTGCATTTGGAGTGAAAGAATTGAGTTTTTTAGGATTCCAGTTAACTGAAAATGGACTGCAACCGATCAAAGACAAAGTTAATGCAATCAGAAATGCTCCAGCTCCAAAGAACAAACAAGAACTGCAAGCATTTTTAGGAATGTTGAATGTTTATCACAATTTTTTAAAAGATAAAGCGACAGTAGCAGAACCTCTACATAAATTACTACATACAAACACTAAATGGTCCTGGAACAAAATCCACGATGAAGCATTTCAGCAATGCAAGAATTTGTTGTCATCGAAGTCACTTTTGGTGCATTTTGATATTAACAAACCATTCATATTGACAGCAGACGCTTCGCCTTATGGAGTAGGAGCCGTGCTAAGCCATAAGATGTCAGATGGTACAGAAGCGCCAATCGCATTCCATTCCAGAACACTGAACGACGCACAACGAAACTACTCACAGTTGGATCGAGAGGCACTAGCGATTATAGACGGACTAAAAAAATTTCATCATTATGTGTTTGGGAACAAATTCGAAATTCGTACAGATCACAAACCACTTTTGGGAATATTCGGGCAAGACAAGGCTACCCCAGAAATTATATCCCCGAGACTTCAGCGATGGTCATTAATTTTAAATAGTTATAATTATATGCTTAAGTATGTTCCTGGTTCGACCATTGCAAATGCAGATGCACTAAGCAGATTGCCAGTGATCGACAATTCAACTCCAATAAATGAAGAGATTCCACAAGTGCTCATGGTCGAGACAAGTCCTGAAATTACAGTCAACGCTGAAAAAATTGCCATATTGACACAAAAGGATCCAGTGCTATCTAAAATATTGGACTGGGTGGTAAGGGGCTGGCCGAACGAAATCGATATGGACGAAGCAAAACCGTTCTACCATAAGCGGCAGGAATTATCCTCGTACAAGAAATGTCTGTTGTGGGGAAACAGGGTTGTCGTTCCAGCAGCAGCCAGAGCACAAGTACTTCACATGTTGCACGAAACTCATCCGGGGATTGTACGAATGAAGATGTTGGCGAGGAGTCATGTCTGGTGGCCAAACATGGATGTTGAAATCGAACATGCAGTAAAAATTTGCAACATTTGTCAGGAAAATCAACGCGCACCACCTAAAGCAGCTATTCATCCTTGGGAATGGGCAACCGAGCCGTGGAGCAGGTTACATATTGACTTTGCGGGGCCGTTTCAAGGACATCAACTCCTGATCGTAGTGGACGCCTACTCTAAATGGTTAGAAGTCGAGTTGGTGCCGACAACCTCCTCGTCGGCAGCAATACGAGTGCTACGTAGCTTATTCGCCACTCATGGATTACCCGACGTAATTGTATCAGACAACGGTACAGCATTTACATCGGCAGAATTTGCAGAGTTTACAAAGAAGAACGGGATTAGGCACACAACATCGGCGCCATATCATCCGTCCTCAAATGGCCAAGCTGAAAGGCTAGTGCAAGAAGCCAAAAAGATGTTAAGCAAATTGTCGCAAGGGGATTGGCGTACCAAACTGGCCCGAATGCTGTTAAGCCAGCATACAACGCCGTCAACAGTAACCGGCGTCAGTCCAGCAGAACTGCTTTTCAAGAGAAAATTAAGAACCTGTTTAGATCGAATCCATCCTGATTTCGTGAGGGACATGAAGCTGAAGCAGGAAACACTTATGGAACAGTCAAAACCACCTCGGGAATTTAAAGGTGGCGATCCAGTTTCAGTGAGGAATTTTGGTGATGGTCCCAAATGGGTTCCAGCGCAAATCAATAAACGTACTGGTCCATTATCATACAAGGCAACCCTAGATGACGGAATCGTAATCCGAAGACACACCGATCAAATCATTTCCAGAAGACCACTGCAGGGCCATCAAGAACCACCGTCAGATGTGCAGGAAGCCAGCATGAGCACCCGCCCAAGCAGAGACAGAAGAATGCCTGTGCATTTACGAGATTTTGTTTTAACTGGGGGGAAGGAATGTGATGTATGCAAGCCTGGTGAGGTCAAGGTTGGCACGCCTGCAACGGTGGGCTAGGTCGCATGTCGTTGTAAGCACGTTTCATTTTATAAATCATCTCTGTCAATATAAATATCCAAATAAAGAGTACTTATTATCTACTAATACGGCTTTTGACTTTCCAGAATCGTTTAGAAACAACCGCGTGGTCTAATCCTTGACTCCAGTTTATCTATTGCACCATCATGTAACAGACATTTTTAGATAAATCTCGTTACGTCATCTTACGTCGCCTTTAGGTTATGTCCTCTTATAGTAAAAGTGCGCATACCACAGATAATCTTCCTGCAGGGGTTAAGGGTGTTTCAAAGGACGATTCACGCAGATTGTCGCCTTTTTTAACTCAAGTATTATTTTAGCATTGGTAAAGTCCACTTCATGAAACGCATCCCAAGCTTAGTTGGAGAGGAATTGAGTGGAAAGTCTTCCTTTCCCAGTTTATTTAACAATTGAGTGAGACAAATTGTTAGGAATACAAAACCCTATTTACTTTTAACATGGATTGTTGGTGCAGACAGTGCCGTGTACCTCCGTGCAAACGCAGGTGTTGCGTCTCTTTTCCGTATTCGCTACAGCTTTTCATTTCTTTACTTTCTTGGTGTGAACTAAATCATTCATATTAATCCCTTGAACTGAACTTGGAGTACGTACCATAACATTCTTCCGCATTCCAATTCTCCAAAGGAACAATTACAGGTGTTGCAATCATTTTCAATGTATGACAATTCCTCTTGGCATACTGAAAACAATTCGAGCAAGAAAAACTAAAAGAAAGCAATTGCTCTTACTCCATTCCTCGTTGGCTCTAACGTATACGACCAAGCCCGCTATCAGAAGAAAGACATGGAACTTCATGCTGCCGTTGAAGAGACAAGACTGGAGTCCACTGCTATTACAACTGATTTTATCTGTTTTCTGTTTGCAAGGAAAAGGCTCGCAAGCACTATGATTACTGTGTCATTGAAAGTGACAACCTCACCTTGAACTTGACCGATCTTGCATAACTGATACTATCCACCATAAATTTATGCGCTTATTGGTTTTTGAAAGAAAGTGTAAGGATTATTTTTTATTCTAAAGTATCCCTAAGGTGTTCCTCAAGAGCCCGTGGGTGAGGTTTGCACAATCTAAAGAATCACTAAAGAATGTTGTGAATAATACGTTTACGGAAGATTTGAAAGACATATTTTCATATTTTCCAACAAATGAGATCTCCAAAAAAAAGGAAGAAAGAATTTTGACTAGATCGAAAAGGAGCCGTGGGGCAAAGCATATTATAAGATAGTACTCGGGAAGATTGGCGTGAAGGAGTGAGCGATCGGGCTAGACGCAGAAGTCCAGGAACAGGAGATCACGGAGGCAGCTAAAAAAATGACCAAGAAAAAAGCTCCATGGCTGGACGGACTCCGTTCGGCATTCGTGGCGCAAGCAAGAGGAGTGTAATCAGTACCGCTGTCACCAACGCCATGTTAAATGGAGTTGAAGTTTGGGGGACGGCCCTGAGAATAGCCTGGACAAGTAGATTGATTCCCGAATTCCAGAAATGGCGCCAGAGAAAGCACGGAGGGGTACACTCCCATCTAGTTCATAACAGGGCACGGGGAGAACGCATAGTGTCTACACAGATTCAAAAGGCAACGGGATGAGGATAGTATCATCGACAGCATGGTAGACAGTCAGAGTAGCTGGAGGATGATAGACGAGTTCATGACGCATGTAACACGAACGAGAGAGAGGGTGGCGCTTGAGTTCAAACTCATCCCAGTTTGAGATCGGTCCGATTGAGTTGCTAACGCTGGGACGAGCACTGGGCAACCTGGGCGGTGATGTTTTCGTAGCTTCTTGCAGTTGCCCCTGTACCAGCTGCTGCTGTTGCTGTGGTGGTTGTACAGACCATTGAATAAAAACACTATAAGAAGCCTAACCCCGTGGAAATAAAGCGCGACAGAGTTTGAACTGAGAATATAATGGGAACACTGTCAATAGAGTCGATTCTTGAACTGAGAAGAATGAGAATTTGCTTTCCTCCTATTTACCGCAAAGAGAGTTCGGGGGTCACAACCAATGCGGGTGCAAGGGGATTTGTGAGATTTGTCGCGCTTTCTTCCATAAGCGTTAGGCTTCTTATAGTGTTTTTATTCAATGTACAGACGTACTCCCCACCTCAGGGTCGATACTAACCTTCACCTTTAGAGAGGAAAACCCACAACTGAACTGGCAATTAGGTTAACCTGCTCCTTCTCCTCAATGACGAAAGCTATCAGTGTACTTTTTCCCAGGTATTTCGCACCTCAAAGTGCCGTTTGACCGCCACCAGGTCGTCAGGTTCACCCGAGAGTCAGATGGCAGCCTTGTGAAGCCTAGGAAGTCAGTCTTCCTACACTACCCGAGTACCTCCAACCCCTGAATGTAGGTGTTAGTATAGCGCTTTTTGGGCCGAACAGATGCTGCTCATTAACCATGTGATTTTGAACAATGTGCACCTAGTTGACCGTTAGCCTACCCAGAGGGTTATTGGTATCTATGATCGCTACTTTGAGTTGCTTTCCGGCAGCTTGCTTGTAGCTACTGCGCGGTGCTCCGTCCTTACTGACACCAGCTTTTGTTTGGAGCTTTGATGTGCTCTTCTTTGTCGGCGGTTGGGCGGGTATTGAATTATCCGATCTCTGCCTCTTTTCCTCTCCGACGACCTGTTTGCTCCCCTGACCGGAATGAGCTCTGCCTTTGGGTCTAGGTTGAGTCACGGGAGCTGGATGGTTTGGTGATGAACCTTTTTTTTTCTCTTCTGCTCCAAGCCGGAGATATGGGCCTGCGTGGTCTGGGTTGTTTTAGGCCGGGTGACCTGTAACATTGGTTAATGCGTATCCTGGAACCCTCCCTCTAGTTTATTGTGTAGATCAGTCCAAATTCGCCCCTCCACCTCCCCTCCCACCATGGATCCCAACAAGGGGACGTCTATCCAGACGCCACATCGAGTAAAAGAATATAACTTCTAAAGGGTACCAGAAAACAGGCTTTAGAGTAGGATTCGAGAACGCCCTGCTTGCAGCTAGTCAATAACTTTCGTTTCTCAGGTCCTCTGTAGGTTTTTCTGGTATATGTAGCCTTTGTAACTTTCGTGGTTCTCTGGAGTTTCAATACCTCCATCGTCGCTTTTGACCGCTCTGGTCGCTATAGACCCTGTGCTCCTGTGTATTCTCGTTTCGATGTCAAGTAATGTGGCTTATTTGGTGCCTTATCAGTTACCATTGAGCTTTAATTAATAAAACACTGTACAGGGTGAGTCAACGATTGCGCGGAGTAACTTAATGCGTTGAAGATAAGATTTTTCGATAGAGTGCTTTTGTATTATGATATGGTTGAATATTCTCCACATTAAAAAAATATTTGGAATTATACAGGGTGCGCCTAATTGTACGTCTTTTTTATTATATGGTTAATGTCCGAAAAGATAGTGTTTTAAAGATAATTCGATTTTTTTTAAAATTGGGCATTTTCAAACTTCAGTATATTATTGTCAAATAAATTACTTAAATTTTGATTCCAGGTTTTATATATTTTATCCTGGGTTAAGTAAAAGTCAAATAAATACATCAACTATGAAAAACATAGCTTACAGGGTGTTTTTTTCTAGATCCAAAGTTACAAAACTTCATATTAAAAATCTCACTTTTTTTAAATGGAACACCCTGTACCTATATTTTTTTGTGGTCTTTTAGCTCCTCCAAAAACCTTCAACTTTTGATAAGAATGTCCTATACCAGGTATACCTATCTTTGATATCTTGGTTTTCCTGGTTTTTATGTTCTAATCTTAAACAAGTTATATCTCGTTCAAAATGAAAATCATATCGATTATTTTATTTTTCAAACAATTTATAAGTCCTAAAACTGGAGAATAAGTAAAAACATTTAACTACAAAGCAAATTTAATTTAACTCCTAATGTCATCCAGTCAGTGATATTAGTTTCATTTTTTTCATATTCACCTCGTTATTATGTGAATTAGAACTTATTTCAGATTAAAATATAAAAACTAGGAAAACCAAGATATGTGTTTGTGTTTTTACTATCAAATTTATTCTCCAGTTTTTACAGACTTAAATGAATTATTAGACAAATGATTTAATAAATTTGCTTTTAGCTTTGAACGAGCCAGATAAAAATTGCCTTTTTTTTTGCATGGCCCACCTCACTATTATGTAAATTACATAATATAACTTATTTAAGATAAATATAAAAACCAGGAAAACCAAGATATTTCGAAAACTATCAAAGATAGGTATGGAACATTATTATCAAATGGTTTTTGGAGGAGCTAAAAGATGACAGAAAAATATACAGGGTGTTCCATTTAAAAAAAGTGAAATTTTTTTATATGAAGTTTTGTAATTTTGGATCTAGAAAAAAAACACCCTGTAAGCTGTTTTTTTAATGTTTTATAGTATTTATGTATTTATTTGACTTTTATTTAACCCAGGATAAAAGATATCAAACCTGGAATCAAAATTTAACTAATAATTTTGACAATATACTCGTACTGACTTGCAAATGCCCAATTTTTCTTAAAAATCGAATTATCTTTAAAACTACTAGCTTTTCGGATATTAACCATATTCCTTGTAGCTCATAATATCATTTTCACATGCTAAAAGTGAACCGGCGTGGATGCAACTAAAAGAACAGCATTTTGCTTACTCCATTCCTCTTTGGCTGCGCAATACACAACCAAAACTGCCACCAGGAAGAAGAGATCTTGTTTTGTTTTATGCTTTTATATTCGGCGAACAACCAACAATGATTTGCACGTATCAATCCAGTACTTTCATAGGGCATTGTATCAAGGTCTTTTACTATAAAGAGATAAAAAGCATGAAATGGCAAAGAATGTAGTTTATCAAGCGCTCGGTGTCATAAAAAGAGGCAGAGATTTTCACCGACCTTCGGGTACTGATAATTAACGACCTCCAATGTTATTAATTTACAAAAACAAAAAGACAATTTTGGAAGATTTTGGAGAGTATGAGGACGCTTTCAGGAAAAAGCTCTAAAAGGTCTTCGACGATGACGTAATAAAGGTAATTTTTAAATACAAAGGGATAATCAACAATTTCACTACCTTTTTGTAGTTGGTATCGTTAATTGAAGGTCGCAATTCAAAGTCAGTTTGCAATTTTACGTAACATCCAACTGCCCCTTCGGCCTTTTCCTTTACGCAAACAAAACAGTGATACGATATGCTATAAAAACAGTTACTCATTAAACCGACTTCATTCTTGGTTCTCTAAACCCAGCAACATGAAGCTACAGATTCTCCTCCTCGTATCAGCTTTGATCATATCCGTTTCGGCCAACGAGGATTGGTGTAAGTACAATCACTGTCTCTTGGTTTGTCTTTGACGAGTTGTTTTCAGCATGTGAACGAGGGGTGTCGTACATAGAAAATGATTGCAACATTTGTATGTGTTCAGATTCAAGACTAGGATTGGCGTGCGGCAAAAAATTATGGTAGGTACTGCAAATAAGCTTGAAGTCGTAAACGACATGCAGTTGATTTAGTGCACACAAGGAAAATGAAGAAATGATGAAGTGCAGTGAATACGGAAAAGTAACGCAACGCGACTGCAACACATGCGTATGCACAAAGGAGTACGGCACCGTGTGCACCAACAATAAATGCTAAAATCCATCGGAATTTCTAAAAGATGCTCTGTCAACGGCCAAGTATCATTTTTATTATGTCCTCATGTAAACCAAACCTGATGTAAATAAATTCCTTTAGTTTAATTCTACCGTAAGTTTACGGGTTTATCACTGTTGTGCGTTGAACATGCGTTCTCTTGTCTTGCTGCTTGGGGTGGTGGTCCAGCAGTTGAAGCAAGTCGAGGTTGCTTGTTTGCACAGAGTACCCTGAGTGGTGTTTCATCTTCTGGAAGGAGCTAATGTTTCATTTCATCTGCGCTTTCCCTTTCCCTGAGACCAGAGTCTCACCCGGTCGGTCTTTGAAGCTTTTCCTTTCCGTTCTGTGGTTGGAAGACACCAAAGAGCTTCGCTTCGGTTTCCACAGATTCTGAGGATGGTGAAGTTTAGTACTTGATGGACAATAACGCTTCTGGAAACAGAATGGCTCGAATACCGTGTCTCTCCTTCGATTAGGCACCGTTCCGTTTAGGATGAAAATAGGAGCTTTTATTACATGTTGAGGAAACCCCTTGAGCGCCTTTTTCACGATGCCGTCCATTCCAGGGGTTTTACGAGGGTAGATGTTCTTATGAACTGAGTCACTCCGCAAGCGCTTTCGCCACCTTAGCGTCCGTGTAGACTGCTCGCTGTTCCACAGCGCTTTCGTCATCTTGGCGAGGGAACAACCCTCCTAACTTAAACATCGCAAGTTGTTCTCCCAAAACTCTTTACTGAAGTCTCGGACGGTGACCATGACCTCCTGAAGTCTAAGAGTTCATAGGAAATCTAGAAGTGTTCCGGATCGGATGCTTTTCCAGACTAGGTCTCGAACACATTCCGTAAGGCGGTAGCGTCTCTTCGCTTCCAAAACACCCTCATGGTGATTTTCCTATTCGGGAACGGAGGCACAAATTAACTAACGATGTACATACTCCCCAGGAGTCTGCTTGACCAAGACAAGCAGAGCAGTGGTAGCCCACATCTTTGCTTCCTTCCCAACGGCAAACAAAACAAAGGAAAGCACAGAGGGGAATACTCACCACAAGGGGAAGCAAGGTAGACTAAGAGATCCTTGTTCTGGTTTTGAAAAGCTAAAAATAAATAAAATACTTGTTATGGATAGAACATAAACAATGATTAACGTCAGAATCGAGGGTAATTTAATCAATGGTCTCAAAAATATTTCAAATAAGTCACTGTAACAGACAACAACACAACAAATAAGAAAAATGGGTAGTGAATCGTGCTGCACATAAAATATTGCGAAATAGCAATGTCTAACTCTGACACGGAGGCAATCGGATATAAAAATTGTAATTAGTACTCAAAAAGGATCAATAATTCAAATGACTTTACACTACCAAATGCAAAAATTTGATCAACTGCGATTATATCCCCACAATTGTGTGATATGACAGCACAAAAGTGATTTTAAATTCATGAAAATACTATACGATGCGCAAATAACTAATTGCTATTCAATAGCAGTGCAATCAAAGTTTACAACAGTAGCAATCTCCAGTTCATGAACAAATAACTACATCTCTACAACCCGAAATCGGTAGTAATGTTGGTAGAATGCAGTAGATGGTTAATGTAGTTAGAATTTAACAAGTCGGTAATGTAGAAACTCAATAATGTTTGAAATGTTTGATTTATTTACATGTACAGATAGTTTTGGTCAAATGAGGTCTACAGTCTGTTGGTACCTCCTTATAATTATATGACTACATTTTGTAATATTACATCTTTTGGCACATGGTTTTTATGTTCGTAGCGTGGAACATAATAATAATAATAATAATAATATTTATTCCTCAACTGTTTTACATGAGGTACAACATAAACAAAAATTAATATAAGGAAACAGCCAAGCCATATAAAGCGTAGAGGAAAAAAAATCGTGTACGTCACATATATAAATAAGCTGCAATGTTCAGAATAAAATAGTCGGTGAACTTAAGAGATAATTACAAAAAAATCTATCGCATGACGCGCCAAATAAAAATGCTTTGTCATCCACATACTGCATAATATTTATTTATTGTCTCTCTTATTGTGGGCCCCCAACAGGCTTGCTCCCAATTACAGATTTACCGGCGTAATCCTTTTTAGAGGTGGTCCTGCAGAAGGTCTTAAGTTGTTCACTACTCCGGTATTTACCTTATGAATTGAGAAAATTGCGGGAAAACCTAATTTGGAGTAGCCGGCAGAATGCTCGAAACTGGTCTAAGGTAATTCCCCTCTCTGCCACAGATGAAAAATTCACCTTAACCCAGGTTCGAACACCCTTTTTAGGGATCAACACCACCTCGGCACTTGTCCACGTTAGTGGGTATTTCCCTTCCCTGATAGTTGTCTCGGAGGGGGCAGATAACATCTCGGGGGCTCTCTTGGCCACCAGTGCCACGAATTCCGAACGGAGTCTGTCCGGCGCTGGAGCTTTCTTTTTGGGCGCTCAATCCTTTCTCTCACATTAAACAGTGCCTGCACCTGTTCCTGGACTTCCGCGTCTAGCCCGATCGCTTGCACCCTCACCCCAACCTACCCGACTATTATCTTATATGCGCATGGCTCCTTCTCGATCTAGTCACACAGCTCTCACAAAGATTCTTTTTTCCTTTTTTCGATGGCGTTCCTGAGTTGCTTGCGACTGGTCGTCCTTAACTCTTCCACTCTCTGGCGTTTAGGTGTTACGCCCTTCTTCCGGTCCTAGTAGATAGCCTTCTACTTTCCACGCATTTGTCTTTAAGATCTTCTATCTCAGCGCTCCACCAGTAAGTCCTGCGTTTCCGCGACCCAGATTATGTTCTTGGCACTGAGAACTCTGCCAGCTTTCGCCGTAAGGCATCCAACTCCGCTGGTGTAGTCGGCCTTTGTTCCACTTCCATCCTTTCCAATTGCCGAGCCTCTCTCTTCCACCATATTTCCCCTTCCGTTCGACTTCTCACGAGGCTGCGTTCACATCGCCCGCGACCACCAGAAATCTTCCTCGACCCCTCAGGACTTTATTTCACTCAACCAGATATTCTCCAAAAGTCTCCACGGTATCGTTTGGAGGAAAGTAGCACTCACACACTATTACTCCCCCCAATATCCGTCCACACATAATTCCTCCCGGAGTGCACATTGGTACTCTTCCCTCCGTCACTATTAGCTACTGCCACAGCCTATGGGGCGTAAACTAGATCTGGGTGCCAGCGCACTGTAGAATAGGGGCAACGAAAAGGCCGACGAGCTGGCCCCTTGGCAAATCTGGGTCTATCACTATCACCTGCATAACATTGGACTTGCTAAACGGGGTCCTATTTTTTGTGAGAAAAGGGGCGTGGGGGGGGGGAGGGTAGGGTTCTAAAATTAACTCGATGCGCTACTTCAGAGACTATCAATAAACATTTTGAAGATCTCCTTTCGGAATACTTTTTAATTAATTTATAATTATAATTTATTGTTAATTTCTTTAGTTTTTTAAATATTTTTTATAGATGTTTCAGAATCCCTTCAAATATTATGAAGAGTTCCTCTGAAAATTTGTAGACACTTAAAAGATTCCTCAGGATTTCTGCAAGGCATCGTCTGAGAGGCTAATTAAATGTATTTTATCAAATTTTTTAAAATCAAAGGCATTTTTTAAAGAATCTTTGATTGGATTTGAAAAACTTCTGAAATATTTGCCATCCTCCTGGTCGTGAATATGTGATCGTCCGTTGATCTGCCTCTTATGAATCCTGCTTGGTATGCTGATTTTTGGTGTCTTGGATGTGTGACCTTCGTGTAAGTCCTTTCCCGTATCTTGCCCTTTATCGGAAAAACCTAGATATTACCCTCCTGTGTATATGACCAATATTTAGGCAGAAAAAGGGATAACATACATGGGATCTGATTAATTACCTGTTTGCTACACCAAAAATTTCAAAACACTCTATCTCTTTTCAGGATATGATTAAAAAAGGAGACTACATAGGGACGAATGAACATTTTTAATGGTTAGAATCTTTACAATTTCAGGCATATTAAAATGTCAATCAACATTTGTTATTAGTACAGACGGTTCCCAGACCTTCGGAGCACCAACACTTGTTGCAATCCTTCTCCCATTGTTCGTCGTAGTTGGTACATGTTTGCAAATCACTGTGGGCTTTATCAAAGCTGTAAATTTAATGCGATACTTAACACGAAAACCATATCAACTTTAGGGGTACTTACCATCCCTTAAACGTGCAGCCTAGGTGACCGTCTGCTCCGCAAATGCAAGTATTGCACTCATTCTCGACGTAAGATACGCCCTGCTGGCAAACTGGTACAGAAGAATTAGAAACATGTTCTAGCTCGCTTTCTGCCTACTTACCGAACTTTGCAGCGGACACGTAGGCGATAAGGCAAAGAATGAGGAAGGCCGCTTTCATCTTGACGAAGACTGGTACACACAGAAGGACAGCAACTACTTTGCTTTATATACCTCCTCACTCCTCAAATTATTAATAAGCACATTGTAAATAAGAGTGACTATTTTAATCCCATACGTGAATAACGTTTGTTCTTAAAGTGCATATATACGGATTTGAATGCATGCGATTTAATTTGATATACGCATGAGAATGGTTTACATTTTTTTTGGATGCAAACATACTCGACTCAATTTTATTTAATATCAATTCAATTACACACAGCAGCAAATGTATTTCACTTCTGGTATAGCTGGACAGTTCCAAATAAATGCCTTATGTGTTTAAATCTTTTATAGAAATTGCTATTTATTTTGATGCATGACAATTAAATTGGCAATGTTTAATATTCATCTCTGTCGTCTTGTAGTGTTTTAGGATTCAAACGCTAAAATCCATATTAACATTTCTTACATTTGCATACATTTGGCTAACATTTTTTTGAGATGTTGAATTTGTTGGTAACAATTCAATTGTTATTTAAATATCTTCATATACGTTATAAATGTATAATAAATAGTAAAACGGCGCACCATACTTATCTCACTTTATACTTGCATCACCTTGACTGTTGACACGGTTAATTTTACGATATTTCGTTACTAAAAAAACGGGGTATCCCTGTCCGGTACATGAGCGAGGTCGACGGTCATGGCCCATTGCACAATATGGTATCTGAATAATTATTTGTGTCTTTAGGTATGTAAACAGCTACTGGCAAAACAAGGTATCTTATCTTGCGAGCCTTACATCACTTAATAAGAAATATTTTGGTGTCAGATTTGTTTGCATTAAATAAGACCAGAGAGACTTATCTTTTCTTATCGTGCAAATCTTCTCTCAAAATAACAGATAGAAGATTGAGGGCAAGAAGTTGTGCACATGTGCAGAAATTTGTTGGCACTTATAAATCCATTCAAAATAGAGTGCAATTAAAAAAAGTAATATTTTTGTGTTTCTTCCCTGTTTTCTAAAATCATCTTCAATCATACCTATCAACTTCCCCCTTCTTCCCATTTTTCTCCTCTTCACCTTCTCTCTCTGCTCGTTTCCGCATCTACACTTCGTTATTTTCTAGATTTTTTTTTCTTCCATCCCTTAGGTATATCGACAACTACTCCGTTATCAGCTCCTTGAATGGCTGTTTCCTCGTGAGGTCTCGATTTCCACCCTCTGTCGCTGTACTTTATACCTATATCACTTTTTGTGGATTAATCTTCCATCCTTTCTCCTATTTCCCTGTCCCTTTCGACCTTCTTTGTAGTCCATCTAGTTCATCTCATTCTTCCACTCGCATATCTCCGTTCCACACTTCAGCTCTCCTCTGATCATTGCATCAAAATCTATTTTAAATTTTCTCTCTCCTATTCCCCACACCTTTCTCATCGCCACTTCTACCCTTTTCTTAGTTCCTTTATTTTGTTGCATCTAAAATTTAAATTCTCTTATCAACATCTCTTCTTCCTCAACTTCCATTCTACCTCTATTTTCCTTCCACCCCTATTCCCAAATTTCGATTTTTAGACATTTAATTCCCTTCCTTTTCTTTCCCACCCTTCCCACCATTTCCTCCATTTGTGTCATCACCGTATGAGAGTCCCAGTATTTTTTAGATACCCCTTATGCACAAGTAATGTATGTTGGCTATGTGGACATCCCTGTGTCAGTCCTTTGGTTGCCCAGAACACTTCAGGCTCCCTCCCTTCTATCCTCACTCTTATTCTTGTTTCTGCAGTTAATTCTCTGACGCTGTCCATAGGCTTATTGCCTATTTTCCCATTTTCCATATTTTTTACCTTTCCACTCTGTCAAACGCTGACTTGGGATCCATGAAACCAAATCACTTTTCGGTATCCCATTTGTGTTTCCCCTATTCTCTATCACATATGTTCTGTACGCCGTCATCACTATCGTGATTCCCTTTAATTTTCCATACAGTCTTTATCACCTGAGTCTGCAGTATTACCCCGTCTTTCTATTCTTTCGGTAGTCCCCCGCCCTTCCATATCTTTCTGAATACGTTTTTCAGCTTCTTCCTGAAGATATCCGTTGCGAAAGAACAAACCTCTCATTTTATCCCTTCCTGCCGCTCTCCCCTTCTTCAGTCTCTTCTCTTGAAATCTCTCCTCTGTCTACCACCTACATCCTCTATCACCACCTTTTATCCCGCTTTCCGTGTAGTACCTTAATAAAGTGCTTCTTTAAGTCTTCTGTTTGCGTTTTTCTTGCACCAATTTTTTTTCTTCTGTTTGTCATCTTCCAAAAGTCCCTATTTCCCTGATTTTTTCTTCATACTTTTCTGTTTCTCCATCTTTTTTTCTTTACATTTTGATTTGTACTTTTTTATGCTGTCTCAACTCCTTATCCTCTATCTATCCCTTTTTTCCCATCGTTGCTTCTCTCTTCTGTACCCTGTCTGGTCCACCACTCTCTCTTCTACTTAATTGACTTCCACGTTGTTGCCTTTTTAATACGCGCCTTAATATATTGCACTCCCCTCCACCCCCTATTTCTTCTTCTGGTTCGCATAGTCTCCTTCTATGCGACTCCACAGTATCTTGTCCATAACTGTATCCCCCTTCGTCTTTGTATCTTTTCCATTCTTGATCTTTCTCCCTTACCTTTTAGACTTAAATTATTTCTTCCAGTATTCCTAGCGCATTTTTTTAAGAAATAAAGACGAGTATAAATTATGCAGACAAAGCGCATTTTTTTATGGTTAATAAGGAGGATGCTCTTTACACATAAACATTTAAAGGCCATCTGGCATACACCGCCTTCTCCCAACACTTCGTTGTCAAGGTATTTGCTTGGACTTCACCAATAGATATGTCTCGGTACAGTCGGTTAATTTTGCCTTTGAGAATACTTTCCTCCGACAAACCGTTTTCGAGATTGCCTCTAACAGTTTTGACAACACATATTTCTTCGAGACGTCCCAATCGCCCTTTGTGAGTACCCTCTTCCGACAATCCGTTCTATAGATATAAGGGAACATACCCGATCGCGATGAGGGGTTGAGGAGGAGGCTATGGTTAGTAGAAATTAATTCCTTTCGTCGAGACCTTTCATTAGAGTACCAGGAACAATAGCAGTTACACTCCCCCCCCCCCACACCTCTTTTGATGAGGGGTCAGAAAGAAGGGCAGTGATTGGTAGAAAACGGTTCCTCTCGTTGAGACCTTTAATTAGAATACCATGAAAGATAAAATTAGTTTCTACCTCTGGCACACCTTCAAGGTATGGGCTACCTAACCTATTTCAACAAATTCCAGGACTCTAGGACCATTTCTTCAGAAGTAGTTCAAAACGGCAGAAGTGGGTTCAGATGTACGGACTGACGGACAAAACGCAAACAATAGCCCATTTTTTTTTAATTCTTAAAAAACGCGTTAACAAATGTGCTATTGTTTGAGTTTTGTCCGTCCGTGCTAGACGGCAATCAAATTTTGCGGTGTAAAATGGGGAGGGGGGGGGGCCATTGAATTATTTCCTGAGATGCTGTTTTTTAAAGTAAAACGTGCATAACTTTCACGTACCAATTTTCAGATTTTATAAATTTTGAGTTCGGAATTTTTGAAATTTTGGGAATTTAAAATGAGGATCATGAACTTTTTTGGGTTTTGAGATTATTCAATTTTTGAGGATTAGAAATCTTAAAATTTTGAAAAATTTAAGGATATTTTCGAAATTTTTGGAGTTGAAATTGTCTACAATTTGGGAATTTAGAAAATTTTGAGAAAGTTTAGACAGTTTTAAGTTTTAGAAATGAATATTACAGGATTCTGAACATTTGGAGTTTTTAAACTTCTCCCAACTTGAGATTTTGGAATTGTTCATATTGTAAAAATTTGAAATTTTTGGATTTCGGGGGTTTTGGACTATTGAGAATTTGTGATTTTGAGTATGAGATATTGGGAATTTGCAATTTTTTCAGTTTTAAAATATGAAAATTTTAAATTATGTATAGATTTGGATTTTGAGAGTTGAGATTTTAGTTTTGAAATTTGGGATTTCGTGAAGCTTGGGAATTTGAGATTCGGAAATTTTGAGATTTTAGGAATTTGGGTTTGGAATTTTAGAAATTCAAGATATTGGTGATCCTGAACCTTTGGGTATTTGAGATCTATCAATTTTTTGGAATTTGCAATTTTAAAAACTTGGGACATTGGGATTTTTAACTTTTAGGAACGAATATTACGGGATTTTGAACTTGTAGTTTTTAAATAACTTGAGATTTTGAATTTTTGATGTAAGAATTTGAAATTTTCGGATTTCGAGATGCTGTTTTCGCGAGCTTGTTTAGGCATCATTTAGCTACTTTTTTATGAAAAAAAAATCGAACCAATGCATTTAATTTTTTTGAGAAAATTAACCATTTCTGTCGGAATGTCGAAAAAAGCCCTCAAGCGGTGATATGTGAAACTAACAAACCTTCAAATAGTGTAATATTTGTAGCTGAAGAATAGCTCATTTGAACTAACCCGAGTTTGTTTAAATCGGGTCAGCCGTTTCGAAGATACATGGTGTTCTTTACGGAAACCTTTGAATACCCCCCACCACTTCATTTTTAGAGATACAGGAAAAATTGTCAAACAAAAATTGGTCCGATTATCGTCGACTTGAAAGACCGGGCATTTTTTGTTGGGTTAATACAGCGGAATTCAAAGAAACATCACTTTTTTAGATTCCCGATTGCAGTTACCCCCCCTAGCGGCCAATTCAGAAACTTAAAAATATTTTCCAGGTTTTGCTCGTGGCCGTTTTAGTAATAAATTTTTTTACAAGAAGGGAACATGTAATGGAAACGTAATCGTAATGTTAAATGTTTAATTTGGTCAGGTGTGTAGTAAAAAGGTGTTATCGAACATAACTTAATACGTGCGAGCATGTGGTTATCAGTTCGGGCGATGTAGCAGAGTTCGAGTGTCGCCGGGAAACAACGATATGCAACTTAAAGGAGGTGGTTCCTCCTTTAATTACGAAAAATGAAAAATAAACGGGACTGCTTGTAAAAGATTGCGCTAAATCATCAAACCAGTTATGGATTACCAAAGTTACGTTTTAATCAAATGTCAATTCTAAAAGCTGTCAGATTTGTGTAAAGTGTCGATTCGTCGTTCATGGCGTTCCCACGTCCTGACCAGATAAGTTGAGTCTTTTTTCAATTTCTCGAATTGTTTTTTTCTTATTTGTCCGGTTTGCAAACAGGGTTTATTGTTCCCATGATATGTTTTAGAATAAATTCTTGTAATTTTATTAATCAATTATTGACCTTTGACAAACTTTAAGATCCAAGAAAAATTGGCACATATGTTTTTTGTAGAGCCCCTAGATGCCTCTAATTTCCCACATCTTTTAAAACCCTTAAAATTCCGTAACTTGTGACGCTTGGGAAACTTTGAAACCAACCCCTAAATTAAGCAAAAACTTGTAGCTCTTGAAACCTTCAAACGACTAGATACATTAAAAACGTTGTAACGTGGAAAGCTACTCTTGAAACTTTTGACACAATTATTGATGGCACTGCTAAACTTCCTGGTACTTGTGAGTTGTGACACCCTTGATGCTCTGGATAGTCCCAACTCTTAACCGTCTTAATTCTCTTAACACTACTATTTAAGCTTTTGACGATCTTGGCGTTTCAGACACTTTTCAGAGACTTTTGTGGCATTAAACTGATTTCCTGGAGGGTGCACAAAACTTTCGAAGTCGAGTATCGAATAGATATAGATTATATACCGTGCGTGTCCTATAATTTACCTTTACCCTTACTGAAAGGTGTGTAGTCTAACCGCTAGGGTGTATAATTAATAATTTACGTTTAGTTTCGATCTTAGCACGAAGCATAATTTACATAAGTGATAATATAATTCTCGAATTGCTCAAAATTCACAGAACCTAAACAATCTGACATACTTATTTCATTTGTCCTCGCACTTGGGGAAGCACGTGAAAGTGTTTTTTTACATACTTCTTGATCCAGAACATCCAAAATTTATCTTCAGTGATCGCAGTGCTTCAACCGCAGTATTGCATATCCTGAAAGAGATCTTTACGATTTGTGCTGCGACATTCCGTCGACACGAGGTCCCTGCATAAAGGACTTCGAATGATTGCGATATGCACGTGTCTTAAAACCTGTTAGGCAATTGCAGCAAAAATGACCATGTAATCAAAATGTATGGACATTCGAGGTTATCTATCCGATAAGCTTAACAGATAATAAATACTGTCACTTGGTAAGACGAATAAATCGCCAATCATTTCGTTGAATTGCAAAGATTCAAAATGCACAATATAGCCGTGATAGGTGCGGGTGTTATCGGGTTGTCCGCGGCGACCGCACTCCAAGAACACCTTCCAAACGTAAACGTAACGATATACTCGGAGAAGATCTCCCCGAATCTCACCAGCAATGTTGCGGCGGGAATGTGGGCTCCGTTTCTCTACCAGAAGACCGACAATCAAAAAATTTTGTAAGTCTTCTTTTGTAATAGTGACCCAACCTATAGTTCGACCTTCTGCAGGTCTTGGGGGAGAGGGTCGCACGATCAGTTCTTGAAGTTATGGAAGGGCGGCTATGCGAACGAGGCAGGTATCTGTCTGCAGTTTGTGAAATCACTGTCGGCCGATATCGACATCCACGTTGGCCAAAACATCGTCTGGGGCGAGCAGCAAATGCCACCTGAGGAAGTGGAATTCTTGACCAAACTTTTTAAAAAGGATTTCAAGTGAGAACCGTATCCCTCGCGACCCTCCCCTTAACGGCGTACTTTTAGAACTGCAGTCAACTACGTGTCGTTCACGTGCGAACCTACTAGGTACTTGCCCTTCTTGCAAAAACGATTTATACAAAATGGCGGCAAGATCGTGATGAGGAAAATTAAAGACTTTAGAGAGCTATCGCATTACAATCTAGTTGTAAACTGCACGGGATTGGGGGCACCTGAGCTTACTCAGGACACCCAAATGACACCAATCAGAGGAACCGCGATTAGGGTAAGCCATCTTGTATTTTGCCACCATTGTAATCTACTCAGTGTGTTTTAGGTTAAGGCACCATGGCTGTTCCACTCGCTTATGGACGACGACATCTACATCATTCTGAAGTAATACAATCTGAACAAGACCCGAAATAAACTTTAAATTCCAGCGCCGACACCTGCGTCTTGGGCACGACATCGCAGTACGGAGACTACGAACTGAGTCCCCGCGAGAGCGAGACGAAGAACATTAACCACTTTTGCAACAGCCTGGTTCCCGCATTAGAGGTACCCTCTAGCCATCCAAAATGCTTAACTCACACTTTATCATGTATCCCCAGAACGCCGAATATATCAAGACCAGTGTTGGTCTCCGTCCTGGACGGGTGGAGGTAAGGTTAGAGACGGAAGTGCGGGACGTTGACGGAAAACAGTTGCCAATCGTGCATAATTACGGTCATGGTGGGTGCGGAGTTACCTTGTCTTACGGTTGCGCCTTGAATGTCGTCGACCTAGTTAGAGAGGCGCTGAAGATTCCTTATTCCAGCAAACTATAGTGTTCGAAAAGTAACATTAGGCGATAGTTTTTATTTTTGGTTGTTTCTTTAAGATGTTCAATAAAGCTCATTTCTTTGCGATGTGTAGCTACTATAACTTGGTTTCGACCTGTTCCGCTTCATCGTGATAATATCCCAAATCGGGGAATACCGAACGTGCAATATACCACTGGTTTTGTCTGTCAAAAGAAAATTGATCGTATTAAGCACGTGGCTTGGTTATCCTGGGAAGAACACCCGAGATTTGCTCTATAACCCTACCTATAACCTATAAGTGTAGTCAGCGTATGGTTAGAGTATTCACTGTCGTATTCTCTTTTCTTTTCCGCAACCTGTGCACCCGCTACTAATAAGAGAAGTAAGCGCATGGTTCTGTCGTTGTATTCTCTAAATATACCCCCGGAAACCCGCCACCGTCCGAGATAAACCGTAGCTATATTAGCTGATCCTAACAGTGCCCTTCCGTATCAGCATCGATTACAATTAATTTGATACGAAAAAGGTGCAGGTAGAATTGCAATTACGTATTGGCTATTAAGAAAAAGACCGGGATAAGTTCAAAGGAAATCACAAACTCCATTAAGCGCCTTCCTCACGAGAGAAACTGTTAATTGGGATATACAAGGAAACTAAATAAATACATAAGTAATGTGATTATAACATTTAATATATTTTTTTTATCAATGCACGGGTAGGGACTGATCCAGAGAAGAAAGAATCAAGGCATTCGTTTTTGGGCCTTGAGAGCATCAATTGCATGGTTCAAAATGTAGTGTTTCGTTTATTATATTGCGTTTCGCGTAAAGCGATCAAGCGCGCCTTCCACAGTTGGGAAGTTATTTATTTAATAATTCAAAATGCTGTGCGGAATGTTGTACATTTTGAGTGGGTAAACAAATTCGTGGAGAAGGAATTCCATCTACGTAATGGCAAAGAAAGGGATGTGCGGTTACGTCAACCAAGTCACAATTAAGGTAAATATTTGCTTTATATTCAACCAATCCAGTATTTAAGGGAGAATTTAGATTTTTCTCTTTAAATTGGTGTCATGTCGTATCTTCGAACTTCTGGTCTCGCTGTATTGTTTACCAAACACGCATAGTGTTGGGCTTTGACGTGGTTTCGGGGCTTAAGTGGTCTAATGATCAGTGTAACACCAGACTTGACCGGCCGAATGGCGGCCCCAAGTGTGAATCCAGTCTGAAACAACACCCTTGGGGTTGTGCCGTACGAGGCGGAATACCGGGTGCACGGATCCTGATAATTGAGTAAGCTGACAACACATTGATTTGGCCGGAATTTTGCTTAAGACGGGAGATCATAGCTAATCTACCATGATCAATAGGCTGTGTTGTCGGGTCAAACCGCCGACTGGGTGAGGATTCGGAGGGGTAGTTGCAGCAGACTGGCTCCTCTCGAATGACCTATCTCGAAGCAAAACCAGACCTTTTTCTGGTACTCTAGAAGCTATTTCCTCTTGGTAACCCTGGACCCTGAACCCCTTGTTGGGTTCCGTGGTGGGTGGGGAAATGACAAAATTTCACGGTTACTGACGTAAAGAAACCCAATCGACAGTTGTGGTGTGACTCCTGGGACCGCCAGCTTTACGTGGTCTCGGAAGCATGGTAGTCAGGAGATGTTCTGTACCACTAAAAACGGTTGTGGGATTCGAACTCACAACCTTGTGAGGTTAGAGTTCGAGCCTTAAACCGCTACGCCAAACTGACTACTACAATAAACCAGAAAGAGGATACCCACCAAACTGTGTTGCAGATCACCGATCCTCAACACACCAAACCATGAAAGCCCATCTCAGACGCTGAACAGAAGAGGAAGAAGAAGACCAGGCTGGCCCAAAACTGTCTCAGCATCGAATTAACTCCAAGGGAGCCTCTCGAAGGAGCCATCGTATCCCCAAGGTAACGGTTATCCCCCTCCCAATTTAGAGAGAAACTTAGAGAGCGCCCTCTCCGGGGACCCCTCTCCGGGGACCCCTCTCGAGTTCTGTCGACTTACAGGACAAGGAAGTCCTTTGAGAACTGCATGGAAGACCTATGTTCTGTTATAGAGCAATATTGTCTGCTGGCCTAAAACCAGACTCTCCACAACTTTAGCACATTGTTACGTTCTCTTTGCTCTAATATAAATTTTATATTATTACGCCTTCTAGATATTCACCTTAATTCTTTGTTTCGACGTTAGATTTCATCCTAGTGTTACAGGTTTCTGTTACAATACTTCTGTGCCTTGTTGCTAGAGTACACGCTTTGTACCCTTCTGCTTTTCTCTACCTGATTAAGGCATTATTGGAGTGGTTTCTCTTTCTCTTCTTGATGTCTATGTCTGTGGCTCCATTGAAGCGTTTTTACGGATTTGTATTTACATTATGAACAATACGAGGTATGTACCGTTATGAATTAGCATTTTCTCATTACGTATGTTTTTTAAGGCTTTAACTTCCCTCGCAGTTTCTTTTACTTTCCCTCAACCTTTCTTCATAGATCTTTCTTAAGCTTCTTTTGGAACACCTTTTACGTTGTATCTACTTGAATATTACCCACTACCTACGCCGCACGTGGACGACATCGTCGCGCCATCACTTATTAGGATTGACATTGGCGCGTGTCATGGGATAAATCTCGGGATAAATAGACTTTCTACATTACCGAATTGTAAAATTCTACCCAGATTAACTGAATCTACTTCATTCTATCAACATTACTACCTACTCGAACTTTATACGTGGAGACACCGATACTCTTCCTGAATTGTAATCGCAAGTATTAACGGAACTTTAGAAATTGCTCCGATATTACTTACGCTACTTGTTTTTCTACGAACATTATACCGTTCGACACCCGATTTTGTTGACGATTACCTTTGTTTCCGAGAATTCATTTCTCTTAGTTTGATTACATTGTACCTTTCATATTAGCTGTGTTTGAGATATTAGCTGCAGTTACAGAAACGGCGTCCGAAGCCGATACCTTCAATTTTTAGTAAGGTTACTCCGAAGAATTGGCTCATATAATCTTGCTGATGTTTTTAATTGATTATATCCATAGAAATTTAGCTGTTTGTGCATCTTTTCTTGAAGTAACGTCACATTTATGCACGATGTTGTAAGGATACACCCTGGTCGATCAACATTTTGCTTTTGCTGGTACAACGTCATTCGATTTATTGATTCTCATTGAGGATTAATTACAGTTTAATATCTGACTGCTTTCGTGTCAGACGTTAGGCTAGCTTACGCAATATTTTATGTGCCGCGCTATTCACTACCCTATTTTTGTTACAGATTAGTAAGAACGCGCCCTTTTGAGCTCAAAAGGTTGCGACTCGATGTTCAAAGGTTTTTATTTAATTTTTCGAAGACTCCTTGGATTCCCATTTTACTAGAAATTAATTTAAAATCTAAATATTGACAATGCAGATCTATATCCTACAGTATCCTATTTGTAATATTTTGAGATCATTGATTCAAATCCAGGATTAAAAGCAGGCAATGTTGCCGAATCGTGCAGTTTATGTAGATAACACAGACCGTTTGCGATTCATCCGAAATTCCAAATAACAATGAGCATTGCTGGACTACCGAATTTTGAAATTTTAATCAGGCCAATTAAGTAAGTGTAATTAACAGTAGTTTATTAGGTGTGTTACAGCAAAAAAGTTATCCGAACCAGTCGTGAGTGATTTCATTAGAAGCGCGCGTAATTGAGCTATATTTTAAGATCACACAGATTTGTATGTTTATGGCAAGTCGTACAATTGAATAAAGAAGCTTTAATTTTGCATCTAAACAACCGAATACGCTTGGAAATTTTGGGAAGTTTAAATAATGTAACAGCACGAGTTAGGGGGATCTGTTTGACGATTTTCGCTGTACTCTGGTACATTCTGAGATCAAATTTATCATCGTACCGAGTTCTGCTTTTCTGCATTTTGTTTCCCGGCAGATACCGTTAATTACTTTGTGCTTCCGTTCCGTTTAATAGTATATTACGATACAAGTGTATAATCAAGTCTTTGAAGCACGCGCAACGAGTTTAAGGGCACGACGCGGAGCGGAGTGCCTTTAACGTTGCAAGTGCTTTAAAGACCAATTATACACGTGTATCTTATAGTATTTTTTATTATACCTGCAGTATAATTAAAAAATAGGGGATACAATGAAATCATATTGACGTTATACTCGAATACATGTCCAATTTTAGTGGGATGGGTGTTCGTAATTTCACGATTGTCATGGAAATGTCACTGGACGTTTGCTTATAAATAATCATCGTCTTTGTAAAACGATTTCCGTTGAAAAAGATAATACACCCTCCATTAAATCGCTTGTTGTAAAATGTAAACAAACGTTGGTAGGTGTAAAATCCAAATCTAGTAAAGCCTATTATAGATGCATCGATAATGCTGGCATATATGAAGGAAATGTCAAAGGTATTTAAATCTTCTATCTTTTGGTGCATTCATTCAAAACTTTAAACAATGCTGCGATTAAAAAGTGGAACAGATTTGGAAGCATATATCCTAAATTACGCGCGTTTGTCAACCAAAGGATAGGTAGAAGCCAAAGAATTGTTCTGCATTTACAGAAAGCGATCTAAGAGGATTTTTGTTTCAATTCCAGATGACAGTTTCATTCCTCCTGGTGGCGCCCGAGTTTACCGTCCCGTCAGCTTCCCTTTAAATTTATTCGTAGTTATTCTTAATTATGAACATACACGGAAACGCACAATGGCTTAACGATTAACAATAAAACAAGCAGTGGCTGGGTCACATTCTCCTTTATTACTCACAGTGCTCATTCCTCCAACCGCAATGTTGCATGTCTTGAAAGAAGTCTTCACCAATTGTTTTGTGACATTTCGTCGACATAATGGTCTCTGCATAAAAGACTTCGAATGATTACAAATTAACGCGTCTTCGAATCTGTTAAACAATTGCAATAAAAAAAAACCAGGTGCAAATTCTTGACAGAATAGCTTCCTAGCTGAAAGCAAAAATTGCCAACATATGTACGCACTTACAGAATTTTGTTTGCTTTATTTAGAGACCTAGCATCCAAATTTCGTTAAAATTGCTCCATAAATAAGAAAGTTGGATGTTGCACATGCGCAACACTATTTTTTGCGAATGCATTTTGTTAGCTTTTATTAAAAGGACCTACCATCTAAATTTCTTTAAATTGTTCCATATATAAGAAAGTTGCATTTCTGCGCATGCGCAACACGATTTTTGCGCAGGCATTTTGTTTGCTTTTATTAGAGGGACCTACCATCCAAATTTCGTTAAAATTGCTCCATAAATAAGAAAGTTGGATGTTGCACATGCGCAACTGGATTTTTTGCGCATGAATTTTGTTTGCTTTTATTAAAGGGACTTACCATAGAAATTTCGTTTAAATTGCTTCAGAAACAAGATCGTTGCGTTTTGCACATATGCAACACAATTTTTGACTTGACAATTTTTTTCTCCGTTTTTTGATAATATAACCCGGCCCAATTTTTTGTAGGTTGTACACAGGAAATAATTCTTCCAAATAATAGAATAAAAATTTGTAGGTTGCTATTTGAAAAAAAAAGTTCGATGCCGTTACGGCGCTCCAAAATTTTTTTTCAAAAATCCGGCCCGTTATTTTCTGTTCGGTATGCCTAAAACATATATACAAAATTTCAACAAAATCCGTCGAGCCGTTTTCTCAGAAAATTGCCAACAAACGTACGTACGTACGTACATACAGACGGAAAAAAATTTTATTCTTTAAAAGTTGCTTAAAATGGTCTAAAACGTCGACATTTGATGAAATTTTGAAATGTTCAAAAAACGGCTATCGCAATAGCTACCTAGCACATGCTAGGAAGCTAAAAATAAAGTTGATATTTAATAATAATGTCTATACAAGGTAATATGTTTATTTAATAACAATTTCTAGTAACAAAATGCGGTGCCATAGGGTCAGATAAGAAATACCGGCACTTAGCAAACAGAGCAATTCCTAATCAGAATTCAGCTAAGAATCTTTCGCATGCATATACGGGTTAAGTGGAAGAGCAACAATCCTGACATTGCAGATTATATTTGTTGTTATACATATTTACATTAGTGAAGTTGAACTTCGCCCTTAAATGTATTTGCACTTTTGACACATTGTTACAATATCAATATTATAACTTCATTTATCCTTGACCTCATACTCAAAACCCCAAGTTTGACAACCAGTGGCGTATCATTTACAGAAAACCAAATTTGTCTCCTACAATCTCCTACCCTAAAGTCGGAGCATATCATGAAAATAATATTCAAAATGGAAGCGATGCCCAAATCGTCCTCTCTTATACCGAAAAGAGCATAGCTGCCACTGCTTCCTGCAATCGTTATTTGTCTGCACTTTGGCTAAACGCACGATTCCACGATAAAATTTTACTATTTATCCAACTATTTCGTTGCATTACTAAGTTCAACATGCACAGTATAGCTGTAATAGGTGCGGGTGTTATCGGGTTGTCCGCGGCGACCGCACTCCAAGAGCACCTTCCGAACGTCACCGTAACAATCTACGCGGAGAAGATCTCCCCGAATCTCACCAGCAATGTTGCGGCGGGAATGTGGGCTCCGTTTCTGTACCAGAAGACCGACGGCGAAAAAATTTTGTAAGTCCCCTTTTATAATAGCGACCAAACCTACGGCTCGACCTTCTGCAGATCCTGGGGGAGAGGGTCGCACGATCAATTCTTGAAGTTATGGAAGGGCGGCCACGCGAGCGAGGCAGGTATCTGCCTGCAGCTTGTCAAATCACTGTCGGCCGATATCGACCTCCACGTTGGCCAAAACATCGTCTGGGGCGAGCAACAAATGCCACCTGAGGAAGTGGAATTCTTGACCAAACTTTTAAAAAAGGATTTCAGGTGAGAAGCGTATCCCTCGCTCGCGATCGTCCCCTTAACGGCGTACTTCTAGAACTGCCGTCAACTACGTGTCGTTCACGTGCGAACCTAGTAGGTATTTGCCCTTCTTGCAGAAACGATTTATACAAAATGGCGGCAAGATCGTGATTAGGAAAATTAAAGACTTTAGAGAGCTATCGCATTACAATCTAGTTGTAAACTGCACGGGACTTGGCGCACAAGAGCTAACTGACGATACCCAAATGACACCAATCAGGGGAACCGCGATTAGGGTAAACCATCTTGTATTTTACCACCATTGTAATCTACTCAGTGTGTTTTAGGTTAAGGCACCATGGCTGTTCCACTCGCTTATGGACGACGACATCTACATCATTCTGAAGTAATACAGTCTGAAAAAGACCTGAAATAACCTTAAAATTCCAGCGCTGATACCTGCGTCTTGGGCACGACCGCACAGTACGGAGACTACGAACTGAATCCCCGCGAGAGCGAGACGAAGAACATTAACAACTTTTGTAACAGCCTGGTTCCTGCATTAGAGGTACTAGCCATCCAAAATACCTAACTGAGGCTTTATTCTCTACCCCCAGAATGCCGAATATGTCAAGACCTGTGTTGGTCTCCGTCCTGGACGAGTGGAGGTAAGGTTAGAAACGGAAATTCAAGACATTGACGGAAAACTATTGCCAATCGTGCATAATTACGGTCACGGTGGCTGTGGAGTTACCCTATCTTACGGTTGCGCCTTGAATGTCGTCGACCTAGTCAGAGAAGCGCTGAGGATTCCCTATTCCAGCAAACTCTAGTGTCTTAACTTGTTAAAATGTTCAATAAAATCCATTCCCTTTGTTAAATGTTAGTTTCCCTTTGAAATGGGCCTGGAAAGGCTTTGTCAGTCTCTCTTCATTTTTTTCACATAGTAAAAGCGATAAACTTCAACTTTGTAATAATAGAGGTCCCCACCAGCTGCCAATTGGAGAAAGAGGATACATCTAACTTCAATATGCGATTTGTTAACCTATCGCGTCACTTTGAAATCCGGCGATGATTGGGTCGGACTGGTACTACTGCTTTTCGCACATTGTAACGGGAGTCCGCTGTGCCAAAGTTAAATGTGAGCGCGCAGTTTCAATTTCAAAGAAAGCTAGGTGTATTTGCTGCATTAATAAAATACTAACATTTCAAACGGGTTCGTATGAACTTTGTGTGAACAGTACAAACGTAATTATAAAATTCTAGAGAGAGAGTCAGGTCATTGCAGTAACCGCATTTTTTTGTGAGCAATATTGTACTCGTGAAGTAAGGCCAATCTATTTAAAAATTTGTCCATTCAAACTTCATATACCACGAATACGAACTTCGACCTAGGGGAATCCTGGTATTAAAACTATTTCTATGGGAATCGATGCAACGCCAGGAGAATACATAATAAACAATTGAAACTTAGAATTTTATAATCCCTCCTCGTACATATCCGGCATCTGCTGGAAGAGAAATCTTAATATTGACTTAAAATTTTTAAATTGTGTTTTATTATACAAATTTTGATTCACACCTGAAATAAATCTTGGGCACGAACAGAATAATGTTGCATAAACATCTCTATCTGGGTCGCGCAAAGGATTTGAATAAACACACAATTAATTGATTAGTAATTAACGTTTATTCCGATGACATGAAGCAAAATTAAACCAAATGGAAGGAATACTTACAAAACTTGTCTGGAAATATTGCCCCGCACGCATGCGGTCGACAAATAATATAATAAATCTTAAAATGGCTTACATTTTTTTGTTACAATCCAGAAATAATCTGGTAACAAAAAATTTACGATATTCAAGATTCGCTGACAGCTTCAGGCAACTTCACTTCTTGTTTAATATACTGACTCAGTGACTCGAACGGGCTTGATAAATAAAATGAAAAATGTTTGGTAGCTTCTCGTACGGTAGAGACTTTAACTTGAATGAAAAACCGACCTTTTAGAAAGGTTTTACTAAGCTGACAGGTGCTTTGTTTACTCACACTCACAGTAACTTTTTCTGAATACGTTCAATCCGGTTTAAAAACCTTTCGCAAACTTTTGATTGCTTAACTTCTTCTGCACGCTTTATTTAGAAACCGACGTCTCCCATAAAACAACTAGGGCGGCAAACGGAGATTTAGCGCAAACAAATTTACAAGCTCTTTAACCGTCGCAGAACTCGTAACCACAGCAGCCTCGTTTTTACGTTGATCCCGGTATATACGTGAACACCACTTTCACTAGAAAATAATTTCCTTCGGAATTTTTCGTCAACAGCCAATCACAAATAGACTTGATGACATCATCTTCGAAGGAACGTCTCCACTTACGTCGCAATAACATGCAATTGTTCTAACACGTGCGTTAATTAAATTTCGCCCGATAAAAACTCTTATCGCAAAAGACTACAGATGTCAATTCCATGTTTAGCAATTAAATACAAAAATCTAAATAAACAATTTACAAAAGGGATAAAATGTAGACAAGGAAGTACAAACAATTCTCAAAGGAAAAGCAGACACTGAGACAACAAATTCAAATACAATAAACCAACTTTGTGCTTATTCGTGGATAATCTCATAAGACTCATACTTAAGAAACTAAAATATTCTCATAAGCAGAGGTTTCGAGTGGTTACCCATCCAAATACTAATCTGGAGCAACGTTCCTTGACCTTAGACAATAAATGAATTATTAATAATAAACCAGTTTGAGCTAGGAAGCTGTTCTGTCAACAATTTGGACCCCAGTCTAGATCTAATTTAGGCAATATTGAAGAAAGGTAAAATTCATTTTTAGAGTTGAGGTGTTGCGCGTGTTTACGAAGCCAGTAAATTTGGACTGTTGGGTAATTTGGCAAGCCGGGGGTCTGTTTCAAAAATTGTTTGTAAAAATAAAGGCAACTATATTTTGTGGCCTTTTGGTCATTTTCAGTGTTGAGGTGCTAATCTACTTTTTTTAAAGTTAGCCCTGGAGTTTTACGTGACATTTAGTATTTGTGTGAAGGTCATACCAGGTGGTTCACACACTTTGCGCTTCTCTGTTGTCGCTGAGTATATAGGTAATGACAGTGGACCATTTGAATTGTAGGGTAGCATACAATAGAGTATATTATAGATGTACCTTTCCACGGGAATGACTAAATTCCTGTTAAAAGCTGTCAAAGACCCTCGAAAGCTCATAAAATTCGGCACTGAAACAAAAGAGATATCCTTAAAGATGGCTGAAAGACTCTTTGATATTGTTGGAAGATCTTATGGACTGTTTGCGAATTTTAAAGCGTTTTTCACAAAGTCCTTTAGAAACTGCATTCTTCAAGTTTTTCTAGAAAATCTCTCCTAAAACTATAACAAAACTCTATAGACACTGAAGTTCTGCAAGGTTCAATAGAGATTCGAAAAGCATAAGCTTTAAAATCCAAACAAGATTCCAAGAAGATTATAAAAATTGAAAATATTCCGATAATCCTAACGGTTTTATAGAAGGTCGAACAAAATTCTTAAAAAAATCCAAAAACTGAGTGGTCAAGTTAGTTAGTAGTGCGATTTATCTATAGGCTCAATTTCACATTAAAATTTTCAATGATAAAAATTTTCGCGAGGGAACGTTTTCGGATTGGAGACGCGCGCATCACGTATAATAGTATATTAAGATACAAGTGTATAGTCAAGTCTTTAAAGCACGCGCAACGAGTTTAAGGGCACGACGCGGAGCGGAGTGCCTTTAACGTTGCAAGTGCTTTAAAGACCAATTATACACGTGTATCTTATAGTATTTTTTATTATACCTGCAGTATAATTTAAAAATAGGAAATACAATGAAGTCATATTGACGTTATACTCGAATACATGTCTAATTAAGTGGGCTGGGTGTTCGTAATTTCACGATTGCCATGGAAATGTCACTTGACGTTTGCTTATAAAAATCATCGTCTTTGTGAATTAAACGATTTCCGTTGAAAAAGATAATACACCGTCCATTAAATCGATTGTTGTAAAATCTAAACAAACGTTGGTAGGTGTAAAATCCAACTCCAGTAAAGCCTATTATAAAGAATATGAAAAGTTATTTCCATGGATGAATAGGAAAGTTACTTACGAATACAGTCTTAAATGCGTCGATAATGCTGGCATATATGAAGGAAATGTCAAAGGTATTTAAATCTTCTATATTTTGGTGCATTCATTCAAAACTTTAAAGCAATGCTGCGATTAAAAAGTGGAACAGATTTGGAAGCATACCCTAAATTACGCGCGTTTGTGAAAGCTTCAACCAAAGGATAGGTACAAAAGCCAAAGAAATGTTCTGCATTTACAGAAAGCGACCTAAGAGGATTTTTATTTCATCCAGATGACAGTTTCAAAAGTCCTACTTGAAGTATCGTTACTTAGCAACTTTAAAGCACGTGTGTTTTAAAGGCCCTTTTTCGCACGCATTTGAGTGTTTAAAACGGAGATTGTGATTCAGGTATAATAAAATAGTATATTGCATAATAAGTGTGCTAAGAAGCCTATTTCGCACGAGTATTTTGCGACACGAGCGAGCGCAGCGAGCGAGTGTTGTAATAAAATCGAGTGCGTAATAGGCATTAGCACTCGAATTATGTACTAGGTATACTTTTTCTACGACTTGAATATATTTGATAAAAGATTGATAGATTACGATCGATTTGGTTCTAAATATTCGAACTTCGAACTAAAAATTAGAACTGTCAAGTGTCAAATGTCATGGTCTATTTAAAAGGAATACAAAATACAACGTAACCTCACTTATATTCCATGAATGCACGCCAGCGAGCAAGAATTTTATAAATACTTTTTACTTAGATTGGAAAGTGTATTGCAGGGTTTTGACATCCCTATTCCTTACTGCAATGTGAGTTTCATTTTAGCACCATAGATGCAATAGCCAATAGGATACAAGATACAAGTGTTGAAGTTGAAGATTACTACCTAACTAGCTCAGGTGGTGTTAGTGCTCTTTTTCATTACAGTTTTGAACGATTTCTATTGTTGTAGTTGCCAATGTATTAGGTACCTAACTATCGATAATACTAAGGCCTTCAAAACGCTGCGTCTTTTAACGAGTTTTCCCGGGAAGGAAGCATCGGACTACCCAGTATTCTAAAGTGCATTATTCCGTGTTCCATGCAAGTCGTAATTAGCACCATCCATTAATTCTACGAGTACTTATTGTAGTTTTCTAAAATACAAAATAGTAGCAACAGAGTTTGCTTAATTAACTAAACGCAGCTTCAAACCATTCTTGAGTAGCCCATTGCGATTATGAAAAATAATTGGGCACGGCTAATAAATTACATACAAGCTCCATTCCCATACAAATGGCAATGTTTAAACAAATTATGAGTAATTCTGTTCAAAGAAGTTTGCAAAATGTGAAACATAACCTACAACAACAAAATCTGACGTTACTTCATTCATTAGGCAGGGCTGACAACCTACTAAATTAACATTTCGCGTTTGACCTTTAACCTGTTACGTATATATATATATATTAAGTAACAGTTCTAATTTTCATTATGCAACCGTATGATATAATGAACGATTTAGACGTGCAGTACAGGGTGACATTTTGGGTATGTTTACAACATAGGAGTAGAAAAACGGATTTAAATGTCTCGAATTATTTGTTTGCATCGCTAACGGTAACGGCGACTGTTAAAGTCTCATCAAACCCGAACTTTACTCTCTGAATTTCAGATCGTAGAAGGACACTTCCTTAGAGAAACTTGCGAGGAGGTTTTTAGAAAAATGTGAAAGCATCTAGATATGCGTTTGAGAGGAATTCGGCAAACGTTTGAAAATTTCTTGTGAAGCT